TGATGTAGAACATGGTGCCTCTGACAGCGGCTTTAAAGTTTTATCAGGAAACCATCCGAGAATAACAAAGGCAGCAGTGACATTTACACCTTGGCCCTCAAACAGAAGTTACCGTTTGAAGCAGCGGGCTCTTTGTTCAGGTTTATGGTTCCAGGGAAGGAAATAGATGTGCAGCCTGTAATGGTAATTAAGAGTTAGCTTCAAAAAGCATAACCCAGCAGTAGGATTCCTGAAATCTGCTTAATCAGCAGCAGGAAGAAATGCCCTGTGCTGTAAAATAAATTTAAAAAAAAAATAGACAGCATTTTCACGATGCTTTCCCTCTGAAGAGCTTGAAGGATGTTAAATGTGCTAATCAAACCTTAAACCCGCATTGGTAACCGGGTAATATTGACATGTTGCAGAAAGGGAAACCTGGGGTTATTGTAACCTCCCTCGGTGAAATGCAGTTGGGGATAGAAGCCAGGAGCTGTCAGCTGTGCCGGGGAAGGAAAAGTTCAGACAGCTGCAGTGAAGCCTATAGCTGTGTGCGCACCACAGGAAATGTCACCGAGGGAAAACACGCTCTCGGAGGGCTGCCCAAACACAGCAATGTGCACCTCTATGGGGCAAAATGCACTAAATCATGGCATTAGCTCTATGTCTGCTGTGCAGGATGAAGATGTGGTATCTTTGTGCCATTTTCCTTTTCTAGCCTCATAGGAAAGTGGAGCTAGAAAGGGACCTTGCGAGGTCGTCTAGTCCAGCCCACTGCTCAAGGCAGGATTGTCTCCGATCCTGAGCTTGCTTCTGATGCTGACCTGGGTAAGGAGGGAACTTGCTGGCGGTATGCTGCTTCCAAATCAGCCCAACCAGATCCTTATTTTCTTCCTTTTCTTTGCATTTAGGGACATGTGCTGGCTTGATCTAATTGTGGCCAGCTGTGACCAATGCCGTTAAATGTAGCAGAGCCACCTGGTGTGCACAGAGCCGGGTGTTGTATAATCACTGCGGTGCTGCGTGCAGTGCGTAACCACTGAGCTCTGCTCCTGCTGGGGGACGCTGCTCAACAGACCGGGCAGGAAGATGCGGATCCCCCACCTATCTGCCCGGGACTGTGGACCAAAGCATGTTCAGCCGTCAAAACCCTGACCAGTATTAACACTTCCATCACCCCCACGCTCTGAGGCTGTTTCTTTTTGTTTTGCAAAATCTTCCTCTTTTGGAGAGAAGAAATCTGGGTCGTCATCCTCCCCACCCTACTACCATCACAGGACTCGTCATGCTTGCAGGATATTTTCCAAAATACTTGGGTCATGTTTTTCCTGAGCTTTCGGTTCGAGTCGATGTTTCCTTGGAGCTCAAAGAAGGCAAAAACTTCTCTTGTATTCTCCCAACCTCTTTTGAATTTTAAGATTTTTTTTTTTTTTTCTTTCCAGATTTGAAATCTATTGGGGCTGGACCCAATGATCTTGTGAGGTCCCATCTAGCCCTAATGCATATAAAAGATATGAAAAACTCGTGATTCATGGAAGCCGCCCCTCCCCCCCTTTTCTTTAAACTTATATTTGTACTTCGAAATCAAAAGAAAAACTTCTGGTTTTATCCTCTCTGCTTTCTTTTAAAGGAACCACTGTTAAAGGTCCCCAAACTTGTTTAAAAAAAAAAAAGGCTCTGAATTTCTCTAATCAACATGGCTCTATGCTGCTCAGCATTTAAATTCTTTTAATTTTTTTTTTTTGCAGATGGGGAAACCAAGGCACAGAAGTGAAGCAAATCACACGGCAAGCTGCTAAGAGCCAGGCGCCGAACCCAGACTATTTCTCGACCAGATCCCGTTCCTGGTACGTTGTTTCTGTCATAAGACAAATGACTTGTGCAATGACCCGCTTTCATCTATCGAGCATGTTCAAAAGGGGGAACTTGGTGTGAGCCAAGGTTTCTCCAAGTTAAAAAAGAAACCAAAAACCCTCCTGACTGCTATGGAAATAGCAGGTAGCACTGCGGCCCTCTCCTTTTATATGCATTCACGCAGACGGGATCACAGCACTGTCCTAGCTGCGTGTTTAGACCTCAGTTTTGCAGGCGAAGGTCTCTCGGGGTGGGGGTGGGGCGGGGGTCCCCTGGTTCTGCTGCTGTGGAATTCTCCGGAAGCCTGGTCGTCGGTCTCCTCAGCGGGCAAGCTGCCGGGCTCTTCGCACGGGAAGACTTTCCTCCCCCTCAAACCTAGTCTAACCACTGAAAATAACCGTCTGCCGGTCACGAGGGCAGCAAGAGAGTGGCCTTTAAACATGGGAAGCGGCCGGGGTTATGTCTGGCTACGAAAGAGAGAGCGGTGAAGTACGGCGGGCGCTCCTGTTGCGTAACTCGACAGTTGGGGCCCGCTGCAGCGAGGCCCTGCGGAGCGCTGCCTCAGAGTGATCCCTGAACACCCGGGGCTCAGCCCGAGCAAAGCTTGGTGGTGTTCGGAGGTCACCCAGCTCCTACAAAACACCTCCGTTCCTGGATTTGCTTGGACAGGGGGGCACTGCTGCTACGGGTCTGCATCCCCTAGTGTTTCTCTGCAGTCGTGCCAGGTAGGTGAAGGGGACTTACCTCAGCCCAGGGAGGCCGTGCCAGTCTCTCGCATTTAAAGCTGGTGCTGCAGTCTGGCGTAGTCTGAAAACTATCATCATATAGCAGCATATCGTTTGGTTTTTCTTAAACTAGGTTCTAGTCCTGACTACCATTTTTCAGGTAATCTTTGTAAAAAGGGACCCGAAAATTGCTACACGTGTGTTGGGCAATGGCGATAGAGCTATATACACATACCTATATCTATAGGTATAGCTCTCTAGATCTATATATAGATATAGATAGATAGATATGTGTATATAGCTCTATCGCCATTGCCCAACACACACGTAGCAATTTTCTATCTATAGATGTAGCTATCTATAGATAGATATATTCAACTAAGACTATATTATAATATATATGCAACTAGAATATGTTATAACATCGTACTATATATGCAACTAGAATATGTTATAAAAATTATAATATATGTATAACCAATTAGTATATAATATAATACAATATGATAGTAACAGACCGTATTGTATACATATTTATAAATGTATTATAACTATAATTTATATGTAGCAATTATATTATGCATAAATATATACATCAAAACGTATATATTCTTTTTTTTTTTCCCTTCGTGAACCTTAAAGTCCTTTGGAAGTCAAGAACACCATTATCTCTAAGTTTCGGAGGGGGAAACTGAGGCACAGGGTTCATATGACTTTTTTGGTAATGAGGCCTGGGTAAAGCAGTTCAATTTAATCTAGGCTTCGAAATAGCATTTCCCCAGCTCCTTTCCTTCCTTTTCCTCCCAGCCAAAACTCTGTAGCTGGGCTCCACATGTTCTGCTGTGATAATGGGAGCTGAAGAAAAGCACAGTTTCACCTGGGAGCAGTAAGGGTAGGGTTTACCTCTCTCTCGATGAGGGCTAAATTACCAGGGGTTTTCTCCCAGGGTAAATGAATGTACACAGGCAGCTACTGCAGGAGCTGATGCAGGGAAAGCCCTGTCCTCCAGCAACTCTCTTATGGGGGCCAAATTCTGCTCTCCTTGCTAGCAAATGCATGTGTGCACACACTTGCCTATGCCATGCTCGCACACATACACAACCAGAATTAGGTCCAAAGTCTTTTGCATTTTAAACAAACCAACAGGACCTCTTTCTGTCTGGAAGTGGGGTATAAAGGGCCAAAAGTCAAGCATGGGAAGCTGCTGATGGATTTGCTGTTTGTGGCTTTCAGGAGCTGAGTGAACTCTGACCACACACGGGGAAGAGGGAAGGGTGGCCTCACCCTCGAGCTGTGATGTTGAGGGATGAGCTGGGCAGGTGCTGGAGGCCAGTCTGAGCTCAAGGGTTTTCAATGTAGGTGGTTGGCACACATGAGTGAAGGCAGCCTGAGCAGCTACAGGCAGACATAACCTTGTCTCTCTGCCTCGGTTATCCCCATTCTCCAATGGGAAATGATACTTGGCTGTCTTGCAGGGCTGGAGGGAAAATGTCAATGATCATGACATGGTCAGTTAGCAGAGCGGTGGCAGCCGTGTAAGTACTGAAGGCAAGTGGGTTAGTTTGCCCTTATGCTCCTCTAAAACGGTGCATAGAAGTTGGCCAGAGCTGAACTCTGCGCACGCACACAACAGAGCCGCACACTTTCTCTCCCTGTAGTTTCTATTGCAATAACTAGGCAATTCTTGTATTTGAGCTCAAGTTGTGATGTGTGCTCACACAATCTGAACCTCTCTCCCTGTAGGGCTCCTAGGGGGTCCCTGTGCCGCACAACGGACAAAGCTCTCTGAAGTCGGCATCCTCTACACTGCCAGATGGGATTTTGAAAATACAGATGAATCAGCTGTCACAGACTTTGCTGGGAGTTAATGCTTGGTCCCTCTTCTGCAGAAATAGCCTTGCTTGCCATTTTTACACTGAAATATAATTGTGGAACAGCAGCAGCTACATGTGACATGACAGCTGGAGTTAAATATGTGGAGGTATGCTCCGGCCCACATCTTCTTTCCCCCTTTCTCTGGTAATATTGTTGGTCTTTGATGATTGCAAATGGACGTGAGAGAGTTAAAGCAACCAGGCTCTCTCCTGCCTGGCTGAGTTAGCACTTCCATGTGCTTCCAGAATGACTCTAAGTAACAGCCTTTGCATCACAGAGGGGTGGGGGGGAACACTGCAGCAGGTCAGAGGAAGCGTTATTTAACGATGGCTCCAATCTCCTCCCACTTTCCTGTTTTGCTGGGTGAAAGAGAAAGATTTGTAGTGAAGGAATTAAGCAGGGACTAACGCCAAGAGCCAGTACAGCTCCTGACAGCAGAAGCTGCCTACTGCAGCTTGCTGCTGGATTCGGAAAGGGAGACGGAGCAAGGAATTCAGTCAGACCACCTGGAGGGGAAGGATACCATCTTTTGAACACTGCTGCAGGTAGGCAGGTTCCCTGAAGCTCAGATCAAGCATTAAGTTCATAGGCTGAAAACAGAATATTTCATTCTTCAGTTTTGGGTCCGAGTGTCACATTAGAAAAGCTGGACAGTGATGGATCTTCCTGGTAACATGCGTTGCTGAATTGGTGCAAGGATCCCTGCGTGTCTGGCTAGCAGACTGAAATGGCAAAGGGTTAATACCCCTGCCAGGAACAAGAACCGAACCACTGGGGGAGAAGAGAAATACTCTCTTCACCACCCTCAGGTGGAAATGTGCCAAGGCTCATGGACAAGGTAATTGCACAATTAGACACTTAAGTGGCACAAGTATAGCAGACATCTGCTTTTTGGGGGCGAAACGTGCACATTTCCTATAACCTGATTTTTCTTTCTTAATTGGCTGATGAGGCCCTCTGGACCTGCTTCAAATGCATACAATGGCCCTGGAGAAAGACTAGTCTCAAGTCAGATACAAATGATGCTCTGAGTGAGCGTCTGGACGTTGGTGTCGTTCTACCCACTGAAGAGAGAAATCCCTCGGGTGTCTAGCACAAGTAACCTTGCCAGGTGTCTGACCATCTTCTACCCATGGAGGTCCTCAACCTCAGACTGGGGGGGAGTGGGAAACTTCAGAGGTCCTGGATTGTGCCACATGACTAACACGAAGGACCCTAAGAGAGCCATGGACTCTTCGCCAGTGACCTCCAACTCTGCAGCAGGCCCTGTTACCTTCTCGCAGGTTTTTGGGCAGCAATGTCAACTTATGGAAGCAGGTAAGAGAAATTTCTATACGTCCTCATATATATTTCACCCTGAACTTCATCCCCAGTAACTGGTAAATTGCTTCCCTTAACAACTTACCGGTATCGGGATGAGGGGGGTAGGGGGAAAATCCACCTTTGATAAGGATCCTAAAGGTTTAAAATACCAAATGACCTTTGGATTTGTCTAAGCAATGCCTTTTACCTCTTTTTTTTTAATAATCCCATACAAAGAGCCCTAAAACCAAATAGTCCCAAATTAGACTGTGGTTTTGGGTGACTTGGTTTGAAATTTAGCTGTTTTGAACCTGGTAGCGATGTCCCACTTGAGCTACGCTTGGAACAGTAAATGATATGTCATAACTTATCAGTGCTGCCTTGGGAGTGATTATTGAAGCATGATGCATCTCTGGGTGATGTGATCTATGGTTTAGGCACTGCATGCCATAAAGGACTTGGTGGGGGTGGTTTTTCTGTTTGTTGCAGTATTCAAATGTCCCCCACACAGATTAGGGTCCCCCTTGTTGTCCCCTCTTCTTTCCCTTCCACGCCCCTATGCAAAGTGCTGTACAAATTTAGAACAAAAATAAGTCCCTGCCCCCAAAGATTTTTTACCGAGTAGCAAATTTTCTAGACTAGGTCTGATCTTCTGATATCCTGCTTCTTATGGAGTTATTTAAATCTAAATAAAATAGGATTCTACACTCCTGCTTTTCCCAACTCCCCTGTCGATCTCCCCCACCTCCCTACATTCATTCTGCAATCATTCAAATGACTAACTACCCAAAGTACAAAGCTATAATGAATTGGGCCCATTGCTGCTGTGTAGCTTCGTATCTTGTGCTCATCACCATTGTCAAACCATCTGAGTCTGTCCTGAATTTCATGGGCATCCCCATCCTCTGCGGAAGGAGGTGGGTGGGAGGGAAGGATAGAAAGGGGCTTGGTTGCTGCATGTGAATCTCCTTGATCATGTATTGTGTTTTACTTGGGTGCTGCTGCTTAATATTACCAAGACTCACTGGTACTTTCTCCACAGTGCCTGTGACATGTATATGTGTATATATATGTATGTGTATGTATATATGTCACGGGCACTATGGAGAAAGTACCAGTGAGTCTTGGTAATATTAAGCAACAGCAGCTAAATCGTGTGTGTGTATATATACAGGATTTATTCTGTAGGATATACTCAAATGTGTGTTGCTTCTCTGCCACTTTTTCCACCTCCCCGCTCCCATACGATCATTTTGAAAAGTTTTGCCTAACTCTTATATTCACTTATGTTTGCACCATGTTGTTATAAACCTCTTTTTATCTCCCACGTGTGGGAGAAATTTCAAATGGGATTAAAGTAAACTAGATGATACACTCCGAGTTTCATTTTCTAGCCTGTGATGTCATTGGGCTGTTAAAACAAATCTTCAGGAGTTTTGAAGCAGGCTGGTTAGTCATCCATGGACAGCATAGGCCATGTTATCAATTTATACCAGATCTGTGGTCCTCTTGCACCTGGCACTGTATTTAAATACAGCATGGGAGGTCTGTGCCTCGAGGAATTTGCACTCCAATGGAAATGATGCATAGAAGTTGTAAGAGTAAGTATTTAGTATCATTCTGGTTTTAAAATGGGGGTCTGAAACATGTAGGGTTGTCTACTTCATACACACAGTCTTTGGAAGAGCCAGCATATGAACCCAGGGCTTTTGAATTCCAGTTTAGTAACCTGACCATGAGACCTTCTTAGTCTATTGGTGTCTCACTTCTTTGCTGCCTAGGTGTAACTAGGGAGTGTGTTTTGCTTGCAGAAAATGTGGTTGCTGGCATACATTATGGTTATCATTCAGTTCATAGATTAATTATATGATAAATGGTAACATGCCACAGATTCAACCTATTTATCATGCAACAAACAGGAAAACAGTCACAGAAATGTTCCACATTGAATGCAAACCAGCCACTTGAAGCAGAACTTTTCTGTGACTCTTTGCATGGCACCTTACTTTGAATATGTAGCACGGAGCAGTGTGTAGTAATAGTAATAAAAAAAAAATCTGACTGGTTAAAGAGCATTACCACTCAAACAAGCATGTATCTTGTCTGTGTGTGCTTCATGTATCCTCTTCTGGATAAGAATGGTTGGCATAGTTTAAAGTCAAAATGTCGGTATGCATGCGTATGGGTCTGCTATCCCTACAGAACTAGCTACTGTATTTTGGCGTCAAAATCATTCGGATGGGAAGAGGACGGATGCCCCAGAGGTTAGACAATTGGGCTCAAGCTCAGGGCAACAAGATTCAGTTCTTCAATCTTCCTGGGTCTGATTTAGCCCAATTTAGTGTGCAGGGCCATGACCCCCAGAGCTCCCCCCATGCAAGCTCCATAAGGAGCCCTGCAAGACAGATGGCACAGCACTGGCGGGGCAGATCAAGCCCATGGTCCAGGTGTTGTGTGCCCTTGTCCTATAGTTTTGTGCTTAGAGCATTCCCTTGGGAAGCAGAAGATATGGGTTCAAGTTCTTTGAAGCAGAAGAGGCAGTTATATTGTGCCCTCACCCTCCATCTCAAGGGAGTGCTCTAATCACTCGGCATTTTTATGCCAGATCCAGTCTGTCATATATTCCCTGAGAGTACTTACCACACTGGCAAGCAAGACAAAGGATGGTCTGGTTTTGGATCTTGGCAGTGTTTGAGTGAGAGTTAAGGTACCTTCCTTCTCCGTTCGGTTGAGATTTGGGTGCTTCCCTACATGGCCAATAGATGTGGAGGACCCTGGGGAACTTTATTTTTGGAAACTTATGTGGCTCCAGGTTTAGCTGGTATCCAGTGAATCTGCATCTTTCATCTGGGTGCCTACCATGGTAGTAAGATGGTATTTAAGTGCTAGAGTCCTTTTGTGACTCCTTCTTAGACCTGTCTGCCTAATCTCACTTTACAAATGAGAAACAGCAGCACTAACTTCTCAGAGGGGTTCTGGGAAGACATTTTGTGTGTGGTGTGCTTAATTACAAGTGGCAGGGCTATGCAAGTACCTTAAGAAACTTTTGGGTTAAATTCTGCTTTCGGTCACACATCTGCACCTCTGACTTTACTGGGACTGCGTGCATTTACCTCCTAGCATTGGCCCCCTCGATCACATCACTCTAGTTCAATGACTTTTTGTTTCAACAACGTGCTGTACTTACATGATAAGTCATGACCTATCCAGAATATCAAACAGTGCACCTAAGGAAATACTGAACTCCGAATAAGTCCCTAGACTTGGCAGTACACTTCCAGTTGACCCTTTTCAAGTCATGTGCAAGCTGTTAGGGTTTTTCTATGGCTTTTTAGTGTTCACAATGGTAGAACCTAGTTGTAACAAGGAGGGTTTTGCTTTTCAGAGTTGTACAAACCCACCCGCACCCTTCAGTCCAAGTCCCATTGCAGGGAGCCCTGACTCAGGCTTTCTTTCAGCATTTTGATCAGGTTCAAGGAAGACAGTCTGTCCCCTGTCCCCCACCCACCCACCCACCAGGGATAACGGGCTCAAATTTTATACCAAGGTCAAGAGAAAAAATCCAGCCCTTCTTGGTCATAACGTGGATTCCTGCCAGTAGGACGTCAGCCGCAAGGGGTTTGCACTGGAATATTTGTATTGGGGGTTTGGGGGAGGTAGACAACTTGAACACAAGCCATTGCAGAAAAAGCCTCAGTCGGGATTTCCATCCTGACTCCTTTCCTTGTTGGTGTTGAGGGAAGGAGTGTGGCCTTGGTTATAAGATTGCGTCTCTCACTATCTGAGGGAAGTTCTGGGCTTTGTCGGCTTCAGTTTCACCGTGTGAACATCTGGGAGAATCCCCGGTGACCCATGGCTGGCTGGGAACCCAACCCCTCCTTTCTGCAGCTGTTAAATGTCTGTGAGTGAAGACCTCCTCATTGGCAAGTGCCTTGGCCTTTGTGCCTTCCCCTAATACTGTACTGCTGTACATCTTTTCCTTAAAACCAATTGTTTAATTTGATAACAGGTACACTTGCTCTAGCCTGCCTTGCATCACTTTTTTTTTCATGCAAAACTTGCAACAAAACAATTTTTTCTGTGCCACTGATTTTGCATAATCTGCTAATTATTAATGCATAGTTATTGCACATTTGCATAATTCCTGAGGATGTACTATGGCAATTGTATTATTAGTCTAAATAGCATGTTGTCACAAGGGAGCGGCACTGCAAAGTCAAGCCTTTTGCATAAATGTTTGCTTTTTATTTAACCTCTGAGATACTGTTTACTTGCAGTCTTTTTGGACACTTACACTAGCTATATTGAAAAAAGTAACTCCCTGTTTCAGCTCCAGCTTCTCAAGGTAAAAACTCCTCTTTATGGAATGTGCTTAGTAGGTCTGATGCAGGAGAGATCTGTTTGAGATGCACAAGTAGTCCAATTGAGTACTTCTTCAAAAGAAGGCATTAATTCAAAATCACCACGGGGATCCTTAAGAGGAAATGGATCCTCTTAACTCTTTGCCATGAGGGCTGGCCTTTTTTAATCATCTGGGTTGTGGATAAGGGCACAGAGCTGAATCTGTTCATTGGTATGAAACTGGGAATTGATGGGACTTCCACAGAAACTTAATGGAAAAGGAGAACAAAGTGGCTGAAGGGGGGAAGGATGGTAAATAAGGAAACAATTTTTTCAACCCATGTCAAAATGATAACTTTTTCAAGTTTTCAGTTCAAATCATCATTTTGATGCTCACCATTTAGTCAAACCTCTGCCTGTGCCCTGACCCATTCATCTACTATTGCTTGAAGTGGATCCAAACCTTTTCTAATACGAGATGCTGAATGCTCTCAACTCCCTCTGATTTCGGTGGGAGTTGGGGGGCTTTCACATGGGAGCGACGTAGCACCCTGCAGCATCAAACACACCAATACAACTGCTGAGTGTTTCTGTAAGTCTGGGTTAGCGGTCATTCTGCATGGTGCACTTCACAGGGCTGATTGCTGTATCTCATTCTCTGACTCACTGCTCCA